TTAAGTTTCTGGATGGTTCAGGTTGAAATACACGTGGAAACGATCGAACTACTTGTGGTTGTTGACCGTATGAACCATATTGTTGGTTAGTGCTCAAAACTGGAGCTTGACGTACGATTGATGGTGTCCATGATGTTCGGCTCATGGGAAGTGATTTTTGTTGTTCGTATGATTCGTAGTTGCTAACAAGTTTTGGACGTGGTTGGAAACTGCGTGACATAGCTTGAAAGGCTTTGAATGCTGGTTGTGGTGCACTGTATTGGTTCACCGATGATCCATAAGCAGATAAGCTGAATAGAACAAACGACATAAGAAATACGTTGAGAGAAAAGTATGTGTGATATATACCTTTGATCAGCGATTTTGACGATTTTAGGTTGATACGTTGGTTGTGGAACAGAAATTTTATCGGCAAAGCTAGCTGTTGGACGGCCATAGGCTGGTTGTTGTGGTTGTGGTTGGCTGCCATAAGTAACTTGATATGATGGAGTTTGATCTAAGGCTGGCGCAGGTGCTGGAACAGGTGATGTTTCGATTCGATCACAGACTTTGCCTTCTTGATTCCAATATAAACCTTCGGAGCATGGGCGAACATAGAGCAAGTCACCGTTGCATTGAACGTAAGCTTGAGCGCTGAATGCAAATGGGTAGTATTGTTCTTGTTCAGATGAGGCAGCTAAGCATGGGTTTGGTACTGTGTTTCGTCCACAGCTTAAACCATATGATTGACGACCATCACAGACACAGACGAAGTCTTGAGCGTAATCTTTGGTCTTCAATGTGTGACATTCATTACCTTGACCGCATGGATCAGCAGCACAGGATGAAACTGGAACTTCACATCGTTCACCTGTCCAAGCAGCACGGCAAGTACATTTGTATGTTGATGGACTTGTTTGATGACATTGACCATCGTTCATACATGGTCGGTCACGTTCGCAGAGACTTTCTGTGTTTTTAACTTTTTCGCATTGATCAGCAGCAGCATTGTAGAGAAGTTCGGCTGGACAATCCATAACTTCATAAGTGTCCTCATTTAAACATGCAATGTATTTGCTAGCATCTGATGGATGCGCAACGTTGGTTTTTGGTTCTTTACCAGTGCATGGTGATGCTAAATGGTAGATTTTACGGTAAAGTGACAGCAATTGGAAAGCGTCAACTTACGTTGTTTTGGAGCAATCAAACGTGGTTCTTGTGGTTGTACTGCACCGTATGATGGAACTTGAACGGAACCGTATGATGTCTTATATTGATCTGCTTGTGGTACTCCGGGAAGTATTTGTACTTGTTCTTCAGCTGAGCCGTAACTACGTTTCTTGCGATAATAATCATTATCATCATAAGAATCGTATTTGTTATTTTTGCTGTATTTGTTCGAACTGTACTTCTTTCCGTAGTTGTCGTTGTTGTAACTACCTTTGTTTGAATAGGATTTGAAGTTACCGTTCCTAGAAAACGAAGAGAAGTTAAATATTCTTCGTCACCTAAGCACATGTTTGACTTACTTGCTGTAATCTGACTTTTTTGGATAATAATCATCATCGTACGATCTAAAGGATGAGTAGTAGCAGTGACACAAATAAGACTCGGAAAGAAAGAAATAATAAACTTACGAATATTTCTTATCGTAACCGCCTTTACCGTATTTCTTTCCACCTTTGTCGTATTTATTACCATATGGCTTGCTACTGCAATCATGAGAAGAAAGAGTTCATGATAATATCCAAATATATCATCTTGAATACGAAGCAACTTACTACGCATTGTAGTCATCAGAATACGAGTCATCACCAAATGAAAATCCGTCGAAGAACGGATCGCCAAAGCCATCAAGGAACGGATCACCTCCGAAGCCATCGAATAATGGATCGAAACCAAATAATGGATCAGCATAGCCACCGCCAAGGAATGGATCGAAACCAAGACCGCCAATGAATGGATCACCAAATGGACCACCGAATGGACCACCGAGTGGGCCGCCGAGTGGACCGCCGAATGGACCACCGAATGGACCACCGAATGGACCACCGAGTGGACCGCCGAGTGGACCACCGAATGGACCAAATGGTGGAAGTAATGGGCCACCGAATGGACCACCAAATGGAGGGCCGAATGGAAACAATGGGCCAGGAACTAGTAGTAGAGCACAAAAGTATTAAGATCAATGCTATCAATGGAAACATACTTAATGTAGCACTAAGAGGAACAGGTACTGGTGGAATGAATGGACCTATTGGTGGAATGATTGGTGGTGGAAGAATTGGCGGTCTAAAATCATTTGATAATATCTTTCTGTTGAGTAGACTTAAATATGTGGTGTACTTACGGAATTACACCTGGAGCAATACCGCCGACTGGTGGAGGAACGGCACCTCCAACTGGTGCAGCAACTGGAGCAGCAGCTGGGGCCGCAGCTGGGGCTGGAGCTGGAGCTGGAGCTGCTTTAGCTGGAGCACCATATGAGTTACCATATGAATTACCATACGAGTTGCCATAAGCTGGAGCAGCTTTAGCTGGAGCTGGAGCTGGAGCTGGAGCTGAGGCTGGGGCTGGGGCTGCAGCTGGGACTGCAGCTGGAGCCGCAGCTGGAAGTGGAGCTGCACCCGGGACTGCACCAACTGGTGGGCTAGAATAGTAGTAAAACGTTTAATTTCAGATGTTCATCATAGATATGTTGCGCTTACATTGGTGGAGGAATACCGAGGGGTGGTGGAAGACCTGGTAATCCGACGAGGCCTGGGAAACCAACTGGGCCTGGTAGTGCAAATGGAGCTAATGGTAAGCCTGAAATAAGAAAGATTGAACGTTTTAGAGAAGTATTCAAAACCGTCGAACTCACCTAGTGGAATGGGTGGGAATGGAAAAGGTCCTCCGAACATGCCTGGAAAACCACCATAACCATGTCTCTTTTTAGAACCACCATAACCTTTATCGTATTTTGATGATTTGTAACCACCACCTCCATAGCCGCCGCCACCACCATAACCGCCACCACCACCACCATAACCGCCGCCACCATAACCACGTTTCTTACGTTCAGTTGTTGAACGTTTCTTTCGTCCATAAGAATAGTTTGATCCGCTGCTGTATGATGATGATGTTCCATAACTATTTCCACTGTTGCCATATGAGGATGTACCATAGTTGTCATAACCAGCAGGAGCAACTGTAGGCCAGTCACAGACATTTATACGTGCGTTCCAAACGAGGTTGGCTGGACATGGTTTAACGAACATACGTTCAAATGCACATTGAATGTAGCAGTTTGGATAGCCAGGTAATGGATAGTATTGTGGACCGTAAGCTGTGCAAGGGTTTTCGGTTGGTGCTGAAGAGAAACGAAAAAGAAAAGATTTATACGCATATTCACGTTGTTTTGATCGATCTTACTTGGTCCGCATTTAGACAGATCGAGTTTTTCTGGATAGTATGTTGTGTATTCGCCTGTGGATTGAATGCCGAATGGCGGGCCATAGGTTGGTTCCGAATATGATGAGCCATAGTTGTTATTGTTTCCGTATGATGAGCTACCATAACCATTGCTATTGCCATAAGATGAACTGCCATAGCTACTGGGTTTGCTGTATGATGAACCAGCATAGCCATAACCGTTACCGTTACCGTTACCATTGTTGACTGTATCGTCACTTTGAAAATTTCTAGTAGCTATTGGCTGTGATGGTAAATCAGCAGCTGGTGCTTGTTGTTGTGAAAAGCTTGATTGATCAACAGGTGCTTGTGCTGGCTGTTGAGCAACAGGTGCTTGTGCTGGTTGTTGAGCAACAGTTTGTCCGAAACCGGTTTGAGCTCCGAATCCTGACCATGGTGATGCCATACCTGCTTGTTGAGCTGATCCAAAGTTACCCATGCCACCGAATGGATTCATACCAGACATGGAACCGAACGAGTTCATACCACCGAAATTTGTCATACCTGCACCTAATTGTTGACCAAATGTGTTAGTGGTTGGAAAACTGCCAAACATACCTAAAAATGGCAAATAAGCAAGAAATCACGTAAATCAAATCCTATCGAAAGTTTCTAATTACTGTTTCCTTGGGCAGTGGCACTGGTTGCCAATAGAAGGCACAATAACAGTTTCATATGAACCTGTAAAACAAAAGAAATCAATGATCGTGGATTTTAATTAAGAAAACGATTCGATTCACATGCCTGTTTCATCTTGGGGTTTACTGTGAATTCGACACCGATGTCGATTTTAGAACGTATATAGAAACGACGATAGGTAACCGTCTCTCCTCTCTGTTTATCCTTCTATTAATCTGATGCGCGTTTGCGTCCGACGTTGACCGCGTTCGTGTGCAAAGTGAAGGGAAACAACGATACAACACGGCTTTTTCTACCTTCGATCAGTGACGATGATATCACTTATTTGTTCACTATCTCTCACTAGATTTTTCTTGATTTCATCAGATAGACCTCGAGTGTCTTTCTTCATTAAACATCTATCGATGATGATATATAAGAAATCGTTATGGAAAAAGAAAGGACTATAGCACTACCTCGATGAGAGGAAAAATAAATTCTAGTTATCTACTACATCGGTGCAGAATACAGATAAATAAAGAGAAAATTCTTCTCCTTTCTTGTATTTGACTAATTCTTTTGTTAACCAATATAATCCTATCAATCGAGGTACACTCATGCAGCGTCTTTTAACATCAAATGAACAAAGAAAGTGAACCGAGCAAAAAGTACATTCTACACGTATCTAATTTGTCGAAATTAAATCTTCTTTACTGATTATCGTCTTTTGACACTATATATTTCAAGATCTTGATTTGAAATTATATTCAATCTACGTTTATTTACAAGTGAAGCGATACTTTTTTTTGTTTCACGAAAAGAAAGACATAAAATAAACAATAACAATCTCGAATCAGTTGCTTTTGTTTTTTGTCGAATACACGGAGAACAACATAGGTGTGATATTTATATATATAAGCAAGGTTATGGAGTGAAATCAAATTCGTCAATTAACCGGTTGGCATGGAAATTTTGCTGTCGTTATCTTCCGTAGTTTTGATGTCTACCGATGTCGACGGAGTCCCTTCGAGATCTTCAGTGGTGTTTGTGGGACGCGAACGAATGTATTCAGGACATTTATTCGTCTTAACGGCTTCTTCATCAACACGAACACCAACAACATCAGATTCAGGAATATCGAACATCGGCTCGAGTAGAATACGTTCCTATACAAATAAAAATTCGATCGAATATGGAACAAGACGAACAACTTTCAACGAACCAGTATCGAGCGAAGACCACGAGCACCTGTTTTCCGTTGCAAAGCTCTCTTAGCTATTGCACGTAGAGCACCATCTGTGAAATCCAATTGGACCTAAAGATAATCGAAATCAATCATTCCATTCGATATAAGACCGTCTACCTTGTCCATTTGAAACAGAGTTTGATATTGTGGCACATAAGCATTTCGAGGTTCAGTCAATATTCGGACTAACATGTCTTCATTTAAACTATGAAATGATACAATCACAGGCATTCTAAATCGAAATGAACAGTTAATGCTGATATAAAAGGGTATTTCTGGTCTGCAGATTACCTTCCAATAAATTCAGGAATCATTCCAAATTCGATCAAATCGCGAGCTTCACATTCTTGAAGATATCGATCACGTTCTAAATTCTCCTCTTCTATCTTTGCATCTTTGTCGTCATTTTGCTCATATAGATCCATTTGAGAGGCACGACGACGTGATGGCGATTCATTCGAGGTTGAACCAAAGCCAATGTATTTCTCCTTTTTGCGTCGACTAATGATCTTATCCAAGCCTGTATATGCGCCTGACGCTACAAACAAGATATTCGTTGTGTCAACCTGTATAGTCTCGCTACGCATCTTCTTCGAATTCTTTTCAGGAACGTTAACTATGGTCCCTTCAAGCATCTTTAACAAAGCCTTAACAGTAAAAAAAATTTTGAAAATGATAGATGAAGAAGAAAAGTAAATGAATACTTGTTGTACACCTTCACCACCGACATCACGAAGTTGATGAATACCCGGTACACTACCGATTTTGTCAACTTCATCCAGAAAAACAATACCTAAAAGCAAAAATCAAAATCAGATGTAGAATCCATTCAAATTCGAGTTTATACCTTGCTGACACCGTTCGACATTATAATTAGCATCTTGTAGTAGCTTAGCAATCACTGATTCAACGTCTTCTCCGACATAACCTAGAAACTAGTCAATGAAAGAAATGCAACATCGTTTTTCTCCTCTCGTACCTGCTTGTGTTAATGTTGTACAATCGCAAATGGCAAATGGCACATCCAAACATTTCGCGATAGTCTGCGCTAAAAGTGTTTTACCCGAGCCAGTCGGACCGAGCATAAGAATATTGCTCTTCTCGAGTTTAAGATCAAATTTTTCATTATTCAAAACCGAACTTCCATGTCTTAACTCGTCATTAGTATTTGGATTGTTATTGATTGGAGAATTTGGATTTGAACTGTCTAATGGTAGTGTATAAAATGGAATTCCAGCATTGAGAACAAAACCTAAAAAAATCATTGATAAAATAATGAACAGAGCTTGGATATTTCTCGAAAATTCACGTTGTTGTTGCTGCTGTTGCGGCTGAGTTGAAAGAAGACCGTTGAAGGAATCGGTTGGCGTTTGCTGAGACTTTGTCGTGCTTGTTTCTGGAAGATTTTTATATAAACGTTTGTAATGGTTATACACAGCTACAGACATAACTTTCTTGGCATGTTCTTGACCAATGATATACTTATTGAGGAATTCAAAAATCTATGAAAGAAAACATGTCAATAGAAAGATTATTTATAAGTAAACAAACCTTTTTCGGTGTTGGTGGTGGTTGCCGCTTTTTAATCTTATCTTCTTTTGCTTTCTTATTTCCTTCATTTTCCGATAGAACGACAAAAAGATGACTACATTTCTCGCATTTGACAAATCTTGTTGATGCTAAAGATGAATCGCATGAATATATGAACTAAGAGCTGCGAGTAGAACGACTTACAAACAAGACTTTGAATATGTGTGCAAACATCACCACATTTCGGACAGAGAAATGTTATTTTCCCCGAACCATCATCATTGTTTCCGCCGTCTGAAAGATGGTTGCAATTAGGTCCGACATTTGTTGCTATTTCGACTTACTTTTCGAGTTTTGACCAATATCACGCGGTGTAAACGAATTATTGTTCGATCTTGTTGATACCGTAGACGATAACGAGTAAGGACGTATTTGCTCCGACCTTGGTATAAATGCACTCCGTGGTCTGGCGGAGCACGGTTTTATAAACAGGCCTAAGAAAGAAAGTCACGAGATAAATTCCGATGAAATCGATAGTGGCCATACCGAATTCTTGACGAAGAAATCTTTTGAGTAGAAACTTTCGAGCATACATGGATTGAATTCAGATCTGATGCTTATAGATAAACTAGTTTTCGTTTAACTCGGGTATTTATTAAGATTAAGACATATGATCAAGGCAAAGGGAGTCGACGGAGTAATCTTCCATTCAAAACAACTCACTCGAAAGATGTCACTCTGCGTCGCAAGAGAGATGATTGGATAGAACATCTTCTCTAGGACAACTTGTTAAATAATAAGTGTTTTTTCGAGAAACCTCGCTTTTCGATTTCATTTCGTTTCTTGTTTGCTTTTATTTTACTAAAAACCATGTCCAACAATGGGATGAACTATCCTATGTACAAGTACGTCATCGATTTCGTGCAAAACTTCCGTTTTACTGTATGACATCTAGTACTTTCCCATATCCTCATATTGTTCAACAGCAACCTTTCTACAGACAAGATTATCCACGTCGTTATTCTCAGGTAGGAAGTTCTCTTTCACAGGACTTATCATCGATATAGAATTCAAGCCGCCAATTGCACAATATGCTAATCAGCCAGCGTATCCTTCGACGTCGAATCAATCACAACAATACAATAATAGTCAGTCATTCGTGTATCTGATGGTCTTCTCTATTGCTCACTTATGCGTTTAGGTTACGATCATCTCATTCAATCTGCTGCTGAAACGCTCGCTGCGTTCACTGCTCCCTCCGAACAACCAGTCATGAACAGAGCTCGATTGCTTCCACCGCAAAGAGCTATTCGTCGGGCCGGAATGAATTCAACCTACACCCCAAAGGCTCCAACTCGTACCTACTATTGTGAAACATGTCGAATAGAATGCGGTGGTCACGCGTCGTACCAAGCACATATTCAAGGTGCCAAGCATATAAAGAAAGCCGGTAATTGTCAAACTCAACCAAAAACAAGCAATGTGTTTCTTTGCGAACTATGTGATATAACTTGTACAAATGCCGATGCTTATCACGCGCATCTCGAAGGCAATAAACATCAGAAGGTAAAACAAACTGTTCGTAACCTTCGTCAACTCTTGCCCATATGTTCTTATGCACGTTTAGACTCTGAAATTACATCTGAAACTAGGCAAAACTATTCCTCAACCTACTCCTCTCTCATCTCTCGCCAGTAATGAATCTCAATCAGAAATAGTTAATGAAATCAAACAATCAAGTTATAATAGTATGCAACTATTAGGTGTAGAATATATCGAAACACTGTACGATAATACTAACACTATCAAGTCATACCATTGTAAATTATGTAATTGTACATTTAATGATGCAAACGCAAGAGATACACATTTAAAAGGCAAACGCCATCAATTGTCCTATAAAGTAATACAATACGAGCAAAATCCACTGGGATTTCTTGATTTTCTAGAAAAAAGTTGATCCAAATCTGAAAATCGATGTAAATAACCGAACAAAGCCATCGAGTCCAAAGCATCAATCGAATCTTACAGGACAACTCGATTATCCACAAGAATCGAATTCGCAAAACAGTCAAACAGAACTCGACGATGACACAAAGTATCTCATGATGTTGCATGAACGAATTGTACCATCAGAACACTTAGTAAGTGGTAAATACAGAGAGAAGATCCCGACGAGATGTCTATTTTAGCTTGGTATCATCGAGCGGTTTGTCAGTAATGTCGAAACGGCGTTGCAATCTTGTTCGGAGCAACTTTCCGTTTCGTCGACGTCCACAACAGAGAATACTCCAGGAACTGTGATGTACGTTACGAACTTTACGCTTATCTTTGCTAAGAAAGTTGATTTGATTTTCTAGAAACAAAAGTCCATTGCTAGGTTTTTCTCGTATTGGTTCATTTGTGAAGAATTTATTGATAAAAACTGATCGGATCTTTCATATTGTTATCGTTTGTGTTGAGTGGCCAACGCGAAATCTTATCGACAAAGTCATTTCGATGTTATCCGTAAATCGAATGCACATAGAATCACGGATACAATCATTTCATTTTAGGAAATATGGAAAAATGATAATGATATTCAATGTCAACGAAATGAAGACGGTATTCGAGTATATACAGATACTAGTGAAGGACAGATGTGTGTTTCACTGTCATTTACATCGTTTTCTATTTCAACAACGAATAATCCAATGTCAGATCAGGATTTGCCAAGAACAAGATATTTGATTGATATAGATGCAATGCATTCTGTTCGATGGTTTCAAGTAAAGCTCATTTGATCCATTTTGTTCGCATTTGAATCACCGCTTTCCTTCTCAATTATCAGAAACAAATTATCGGACGGCAGCATGCAACAGCTCTGATACGGTGTTTACTTTATAAAACAAAAATCTCATCCCGATGGCGAGCGTTGCCATCTGAAGTATGAAATTTGATTTAGTTAGAAAAATTCTACTGTATATTTGATTCAGGCCATTGAAATTGTTATTGATAACGCCCTGAGCAGGTCTATGTCACCTATCGGAGCATTTCGACGCGCTCTCGAGTATCTTGCCGGTGGCCTAGTTTTGTCAAGTAAGTTCATGATGTTCGTAACACATGCCTCTCGACTAATGTTGCAAAAGGAATAGGTAATAATAGGGTGTCATGTCAGTCTGCATCTGCTATCCTCAGTAGATTATCTCTTGAATCGCTAAAAGGTCGTTCTGTTTGTGAAGGAATTCAATCTACTTTCTGTTTGTTGCGGAAAAATCTTAATTTCTAGAGAATTCACTTGAGATAGTGGAACTTGTCATTAGATCAGTTGTTCGTGATCAAGAATGCAGTTGTTTTGTTATAATCTATCGGTGATGCACAGCGCAGCATATGCAAGTGCCGATTTTTTACCTCTTGAAAATATTCAAGTTTGACATTACAGCATGCGCGTGTTAATTATCCTTTTTAGAATAGTTCAAGAAATACCTACAGTCTGGCTAGTAAAAGCTCAAAATAAAACGATCCTCTTGAGTAAATTATTGAGAAGCACACTTTAAGAATATTGCGCACTGATTTTAAGAGACTGGCAGGAAATTGCTGAAGTTAGAGGACGTTAATTATTCTATGTATATACTCGTTGCCTTTAGATGGTCCAGGGATACGTAAATCATGGCAGACGGATGCAATCAACGATATTTGCAGTAATCTCACGGATCAGGAGCGCAATGATATTACACATGAAGCACAAGTGAGTAATCCAGGTTTATTCGAACAGGTGCAAAAGCAAATTTTCTTCTAGAATGGTTTGCGTCTCCTGACATTCGGTCGGTTAGATTCATGGTTTGAACATTCACACTCGGCAACGACATCTCTTCAAAAACGTTCGCATGCTGATGCTGACAATCAAAGTAATCAAATCTCACATGATAAGTAGAGTAAGATAGAGAAACAAAAATATTTTCCATTCGTTTAGGTCTTGCGAAGCGACAATGTACTTAATTAAAACCATGTCAGAGTGTAGTAGTCATTGTTCCAGAGTACCGAATTTTATTTATATATATATATTTGTTGTTGATCTTGAAAAAGTCAATAAAAAAGAAATACGAAAGCTTCTCTTAATATTAAATTTAAACTGAATTTCCTCATCTATAGATCAAACATTGATGAGTTCTTGTGGCACTGGGAACATTTGACTCTGTCAAAAAAAGAATATTGTGTAAGAATTTCTTTCATTCTTTTGAATATTCATCTGCATCATGCACACTTATGCTAATGTCCTAACAATGTGAGGCTCATACCAGAGCCGAATAACGAAAGTATATTTACATGTGAAGAATGGTTTTCATTCTAGAGATCATCCCACGCACACAAAACATTTGCTCGCGCCTATTGCTTTGCCAAATATCGTATATCTTAATCGCCTCTTCCCGAATTTCCTTTGTTCTTGTTTAAAACATACGTCTTTAAGTGAATAATTAATCAGAAAATTTATAATCAACAACGGTACATGCTAACAGGAGTGTTCTTCATCATGGATATCTAATTGAAGTTCTACTTATTCGCAGAGTATGATCTAGTCATCATTATTACGCGATAGATTACTTCCAAAACTTAATTTGCATACAGATTAGAAACTTTGACCCTTCTGTTTCGCGAGAAGATCCAATCTATTAAGCGTCAAAGATACTTTTCCCAATGTGTTCACAGTTGTTAGGGAAAGACGTTTTCGGAAGAGAAGTATCCTTTTGACAGAAGAGTATTCAAAAATGCATCGCTAATGAGAATGCTCTCCATTACTAAGCAATGATTATTCGTCGCACGTATCAACGTTAAGAGTAGTGTACCTAGCAAACCAAATTGAGTGTTGTTCTACGAGCTGAACTGTAAAAATACGATCAAGGTAGACCGAGTGGAAACGTCTCTGTGAGTTTTGTTTTGACAAAAATAACCATTCGGTAGTTTTCCTATTTGAAGTGTCGTTTAAATTACAAGTCTTTCTTGCAAACTTCTTTGCTCTTCAATAATACTTGGGCTGCATCATGTCTTCGACCTTTGTAGATCGTTCTCGTGTATGGCGCAATATATAAATGAAAACATGGTGCTTGAGAAATGAAACTATCTGCTAAATAATGTTAAGAATGGCACCATCGTTAACATTGAAAATAGAAACATGTCTGCAATTAACCTAGATCAATTTATAAAAGAAACTTCAAACTTAACATTTAATTCTGTACGCATAGAACAAACCAGTTTAGATAAGCAAAACAACAACGACAACAATTGCGAAGATCCGTTTTTATTCACCGTTATACCGTGAAATATGATACTGTTGAAGTTCGAGTATTGGAAGAATTTCGTCTTCACGAATACGATTTTCCTCCACACTTGGAATTTCGTCGAATAGACTTCGAGATCCATTTTCGGTGAGCGAATCTGGCTTCGTTTTGCTTGCTCGTTCTTTCGATTTCGATCCCACTCGTCGCTGACGATTGGCTTTTGAGTTTCCCGTATGCTCAGGCGTATTTGCGGCCGGCGAACTTCGATTCAATACACGTCCCATCATTCGGAAGAGTTTCTCAATGAATATTTGCCGGAATTTTCGACGGAATGTTTTCG